GAATTAATCTGCAAGTTAAATCCTTTGCATAGAAAAATTAGAATTATATATCACAACTGTTCAATTTTTGGCAAATATCAGACTACTACCGCTTTCCATTAGCACATCCATTAATGATGTATTCTAATTAAAAATGATGAAAAAGATGCTTCTCTGCTGTGTATTTCATTACAGGCAAGTGAAAAACCAGAAGTTATAACCGTATTCTGTGCACACTCCTGCTCAAAATATACAAACTTTCTGAGAGAAAAAAATACTTATTTGGATTTTCTCATCCAAATTAAGTATTCCTCATAATATGGCTTCTTTTGAGAAATGGTAATTATTGTGTCCAGATTTCAATCTGATCCCTTTTTCCAATTGTCTTGCCTATTATCCAGGTTAAAATATGTAAATTTAGACAGAAAATTATATTCAGTTAATTAGTCACGTAGTACAAACTTAAATCATTTTGCCTGTTCCCATCTCTGAATAAAGCAAGTGGCTATCATGTAAAATTCAAATCCCTTAGGGGATTACTATTTTCCAATGTAATAATGTACCATAACTTGATACGGGGGGTAGGTTGTAGCCGTGTTGGTCTCAGGACATAGGCAGACAAGGTTCTTTGGGTGAATATGATATATTTTATTGGACCAACTTAAATAGTCAGAAAAAAAATTCCAATCATTCCAATCAAAACATTTTTTTACCATCATCATCCCTCCATCCAACTATCTTTTGAATACTCCAGCACCAATGTCTCCTTTTTAGACATGATGATCAATATCCAGAATGGTAAAATACAGACCACATTATACAAGAAACCCACAGACCAACATACATATCTGCGCAGAACCAGCAATCACCCTAAAGACACCAAGAAAGCTGTGATAGACAGCCAAGCCCTCAGATACCACCGAATTTGCACTGAAGAAAACACCCGGGATTACCACCTCACCAATCTTAAAAAGGCTTTCACCCAACAAGGACACTCCTACAGAGAGGCAGACTGCACATTTGAAAGAGCTACATGGATACCACGTGAAGAATTGCTGCAGTACAGAAGAAAACCCCCCACACATCATACATCACTGGTTATGACATATCACCCTTCCCTCAAACCCATACGGAAAATCCTCAAACAATTGCAACCCGTACTAGAAAGAGACCCTATTCTTAAAGAGATCTTCCCAAAACCACCCATCCTAGCCTTCAAACAAGCACCGAACCTCACTAACCTCATCACCAGAAGCAAACTTCCTCAGGCCCAGAACACACCAAATGGATCCAGACCACGCCACGACAAGAAATGCAAAACCTACCAACGCATCTCCACCAACCCCATAATTACTACGCCCCACAACAGAACCATCAGCATTACTGGATCTTACAGCTGTGCCTCCAGAAATGTAACATCTCTCACCCAGTGCACCAAATGCCTCAATGGAAAATACATAGGAGAGACCAAACAACAACTGTGCACCAGAATGAACGCACACCAGAAATCTAGCAAAGACAGGAATACCCTATGACCTGTGGGGGTACATTTCTCACAAAACCATTCTCTCTCCAATCTCTCAGTTCTAATCCTCAAAGGAAAGTTACAAAACACTTCTCAGAGATGAGCCTATGAACTTCACTTCGTCAACCTCCTGGATAAAAAAAAAAAAAAAAATCATGGACTAAATATAGACATTGGATTTATAACACATTATAACCTGCCTGACATTTGACTCCTCAGGTACCTCTCCACTATCTAACTGCTACATTCATCCCTCTTCTCCCAAATACCCAGCCTGTCTCTCACCCACTGACTCCTCAATTTACATCTTTACTGACTGCCTATCTTACATGCAGCCCAGCCCAGCCTCTGGCTTCTTTACTATTCATTCCATCCAGGAAGAGCACACACCAACTGCAGAGACTTCCTCAGCCTGATGAAGGGTTTTTAAACCCAAAAGCTTGCCAAAAAATTGTTTTCCAACTATTTAAGTTGGTTTAATAAAAGATATCATATATACCCAAAGAACGCTGTCTTGCCTGTAACTTGATACATTAACATACCACACTGTCATTCTTTTCTTATTACATCCTGTTAGTAACTATTATGGAAATGAAGCAGGTTCAAATTTAAACTATGCTCCTGCAAACATTTATACAAGCCCCAAACAGTAATAACCCATTTCTTCATGTACCCCAGTATAACCCATCTAAAGAAATGAAAACTCATCTTTTCCTCAATTGCAACAGGTGTATTTTGAAATATGCTTACAACATCATTTGTGGGGAAGAAGGTATATGAAACTAAAACTAGTGTCTATTTTAGAGAAACAACACAACGTTAAAAGCTGGTTAGTTAAATTAATGGCAAATTGCCAATAATCAGTCAAATTCTGCAAGCTACAGAAACCCCATGATGGTACTCAGCCCCCAACGACAAGGACAAATTTTACAATGTTGCTTTGGTCTTCTTTAAAGAGCAGAGTCTGCAGATTTATTATTATTATTATTATTATTATCATCATCATCACAGCATTTAGTCTTTCAATTAAAAAAAAAGTTTAGATCAAGGGGCCTAATTTCTACCACAGTTCAAAACTGCCATCTGCCCTACACAGATGGTGCACAGTGACAAGTTGCAAGGTGCTCAACTTGCTACTTACCTGGTCTGGAGAAAAGCAAGGTGGCATCTGCCCCTGCATACACCATCTTATTACAGTGAGGCAGCACTGTACCTAGACTCCTGGCAGCCCCGGATAAACTTTTAGTATCGGGCCCTCCTTCACCAGAGATAACGATAATAATAATAAAAAAATTACAATTTTTCAGGCCCCCTTACTGTCTGGGCCTCAGGCAGCCGCTTGGTTCACCCATGTCTGGGTCTGGCCCTGAACTGAACTGAGACATAACTGTCAATGATATGCAAATGAGGGCAGTGAACACATATAGGTGAGGATGAATGTGTGATTATATCATAAATAGAGAGAAATGACTGTGCTGCAGGTATTGGAGCTATGCCTGCCTATATAACTGCAGCAGTTTGCCAGTTGCTCTGTGAAGAATAAGACTTCCCCATAGAGGGCACAATGGTCAGCTGACAACATCCTCTTGGAAATAGAGACGCGAGTCCAAAGAATATATTTACATAGCCTTATCTATTAGGGCTGTGCGAAGATTCAGTCACTGATTCAATTCGGAGGAGATTCAGCCCGACTCAGCGGCCATATCTCCAAATCCGAATTGAATCAGAAGACCCATTAATCTCTCTGAATCGAACAGGAATCCTCTGAATTGACTTAGAGAGATTTGGAGATTTGGTCATAGAAGTGGACCAGAAGCACTTCTGGTCCCCTTCTGGGTTCACCGCAGAGCACGCGGGGGACCCCCTCCTGGGTCTGGGGGGACACTTGCGGCCCCCCTCCGCTGCCAATTGCTGAGCTGGGGAGGTGCGGCGGGGTGGGACCCACGTGCTTGGCGGCAGACCCAGAAGTGGACCGCCAATGTGAGGAAAGCTAACCACACCTTGTCATGCATCCACAAATGCATCACAAGCAGGTCCAAGGAGGTGATCCTCCCCTCTGTGCAACAGTGGCCAGGCTGCAGTTGGAGTACTGTGTCCAGCTCTGGGCGCCGCACTTCAGAAGGGATGTAGCCAGCATTGAGAGGGTCCAGAGGAGGGCCACTGGCATGATCAGGGGGAAGCAAGGCAGGCCCTATGAGGGAACCTGTTCAGCCTCCACAAGAGAAGGCTGAGAGGGGATCTGGTGGCTGTCTATAAACTGGCCAAGGGGGACCAGCAGGCAATGGGAGAGTCCCTGTTCCCCCGAGCACTACTGGGAGTAACAAGGAATAACTGCCATAAGTTGACTGAGAGTAGATTCAGGCTAGATATCAGGAGGCACTACTTCACAGTCAGGGTGGCTAGGATCTGGAACCAACTTCCAAGGCAAGTGGAGCTCGCTCCTACCCTGGGGGTCTTCAAAAGGAGGTTAGATAGACACCTTGCCGGGGTTGTTTGACCACAGTACTCTTTCCTGCGCAGGGCAGGGGGTCAGACTTGATGATCTGCTCAGGTCCCTTCCAACCCTAACAACTATGAAACTATTAAGTACTTCCGGTCCACTTCCGGGTCCAATGCCAAGCATGTGTGGTGGGGGCGGCTGTGCTCCTGTGGGACACTCCATCTGCCCCACCATCTCAGTGTTCATGAGCCATGCCTGGTACCTCGAGGTATGTTGAAAAAACATATAAACCTATGTGTATGGCTGAATCGCTGATTCTCTAAATCAGAATCAAATCTTCAGATTTGGATTTGGCGTAAATGAATCGGGACAGTGATCCAAATCAGTGAATCGATTCACTGTCCCCCGAATCGGGCCAAATATGAATCTGAACCGAACATGGCCTGCTTCGCAAACCCATATTATTCATGCTACCAAGACGAAGCAGTTGCCCACAACTGCATTGTGCAGACAAAGCAAGCTGCTAAATCAGTTCTAGAATTAAGGAAACATCAAGCCAAAGTGCTGAAACTAAAACTTCCCACTAGTCATATTCTAGCTGTGGAGAAGGCTCTCATTTAAATCCTACTCCATGGGATTCCCACAACCCAGCACAATACTGGACAGTTTCTGAGAGCAATGTAACATTGTTGCACATCTGTTTGTGGTGGTAGGAATCACTTGCAATGCTTACCGTACACGATCTTGCCACAGGCAAACTGCCATATGTACAACTGGACCAGAGAGGAATCTGTTTTTGCACTGTCTTCTACACAGGGATTTGGGCTTCATGTAGGCCTCCATGAATAGCACACTGAAAGACCTGGCACAGAATTTGGCTTCCACACCAGGAACAGCCTGGTGGACCCAAACTCAGTGCAGTGTAGAACCAATCACAAATGGTCACAACAGCCTTGTCTTCTATCATCTGGACAAAAAGTAATACTTTGTGCATGTGCGTTCACCCATTTATGTAAATCCCAACATTTCTCTAGAGGAAAAATCACTGAGCCAAAATACACTTTCTAAAAAAAGTTGTTTAATTAAATTTCTAAACAAAAGAAATGGTAGAAAACAATATAGCGTGAACCTCTTAAATCCAGTGTAGCAATACAAAAGAAAATCCTTTTACCTACAAATTATGTTTTATCTTATTCATATCAATGGAACATTTATTTTTTTTTAATGGAAAACTAATAAAAACCTGAACTGCTTTGTAATAGTGCATCATTATCTCCTAGCTGGAATTTGACAGGTTTAAGATGCAATGAAGGTTAAGTATTGCTAGGAACAAATGTTCTTTCTGGACCAATGTTAAATTTAAAACTTTCTAGAATGAATGGAATTCTTCTATGAAGAGAATATAAAAGTACAAAGGTTTAGAAATGCCTGCACCTTTAAAAGTAACTACATTAGTCTGTGTTATCACATGCAATTTTTGCTTTCAAAATTTATACTGAAATTTTTGTCACTTTAAAACATTGTAGGGCATTACAGTCTCCTTCATCAAAGGTATCGATGTCACCAACATACATGCTGCAATGTCACTGATTCCCTAACGTATCATTCAGTGGCATGTCGAGGGCAGAATGTATTTATGCAGTAATATTAAAAGTGCAAAGTTGACAAGAGGAGAAGGACAAAACATTAAAGGAAAATGCGTTGCATTAATATGTTTTTTTAAAGTTCACTTTCATGCTAGTGTTTTTAAACTTCAAGGAACTTTTGGTAAGTGACAGTAAAAAAGACAAACTATCAGAGCAAATAATAAAAACATTAATTACACTCCCTCTAATTAAAATGACTTAGGGAAAGTAAAAAACAGTTTTTCAAGCTCAGGTGCAGTAAAACGAGTTAAGATTTGGTCAGCACCTTTTGTTTTAATATGTAAATCGTTAATATGCAATTGTGATCCTTATCGACTTAAAGCTGAGCTTTATAAACTCTGCTAACGTTCGTCAATTCAACGTAATTTTGTTTAAAAATAAATGTATCCACTTGAAGGACACTGCTGAGCATCATAACTAAGATTAAATATTGAAATAGTAAGTCAATTTTCCAGCACAATTTACAGAACAAAAATGTTGCTTACAAGAATAAATTATAATGGCCCAAGCAATCTCAATTTTTATACATACAATGCTGCATCTACAAATAATTCTGCTTACCTTTTGCCCACATTAAGTTGGGGTTATATACCTGTTTCATATACAAATTTTGTCTCTAAATACTCTTATTTTCATACAAAATAAATTCAATATCCACATTAAATTGGGATTATATACCTGTTTCACATACAAATGTAACCTCTTAATACTCTTTCCACACATAATAAATTCAATACCAAATTATCTTGGTGCAAAATTATACCTATAAAAACACAGGCTAGACCTGAAAGTTTGGCCCTAAATGTTTTTAAAAAAATTCCTCCTGCCTATGAGTGATTAGCGGAAAGGGGGGTTAGAAGGGACAAAGAGAGTAAAGAAAATATAATATAAGGAAATATTCTGAATAATTTACAAGAAAGGACTGAAGTAACTGAACTGAACTTTAACACACAGGATAAAGTTCAATTCACTTCATTCCCTTTAAGTGTTAGAGGTCTTTCAAAATAAGAAGAGTAAAAAAAACCTGATCATTTAAGATCTAGCTTCATGTGTTAACTCTACTGCAACTAAATACCTGCCCTAGATAACACATTTAACATTATAGCTAAATTGTAAATTACAAAAATCCTCAAAGAAAGCACAATATTAAGATGCTCCTACAAAAAACTAGAACTCTTGGTTCCAAAAGTACTATCCATATTAAGATGGTAATGTTTGAAGTGCAACACACCTCATATTTTTTATTTCTTAACTAACTGTTGCATAGTGGTCATATAGTATTTACTGTACATAGAGAATGAATTAACAGAATTAATAGAGACAAGTGTGTTCAACAGTAAAACCTAATCCTACAAACCTTACTTACTTGGGTAATGCCCCCAGAAGTAGCCTCAAGTCAATGAAGCTATTCACTCTTAAGAAGTAGAGGCTTTGACCCTTGCAGAATAGCAAGAAAACCTTCAGTCCAGAGGCTGCACACTGAGAATTATTTAGTGTGGGATTATAACTCAATTTAGCAGATTCTTTCTTTGATGTATTAATTCAAAGTCATTTTCAGTTGTTTGCAAGTTTCAGCTACTTATACAACATTTCCTCTGTTCTCCAGAATTTGAACCCCTATTTTATAAAAAAAGAATTTAGTCCTTCTGATATGGAAACTAACCTTCACATAGGGGGCTGGGGATGTACTGCTATCCTTGTCAAGTCTCAAAATATGCAGAATGAAAGAACAGTAGCAAAACAACAGTGAGCGTCCTCCATTTATATCAATGCTACAAACCCTAATTGCCACTACTGAATTATGACTACTTTCCTAATTCCCTGAAAAATACACCTATATAAAAAATATTTATATTAGATATTTTTGCTGTAAAAGTCCTCGCTGCTAATACAGAAATACTGTATTGACACAAATATTAGATTAAATGACTTGTATCAGCCAGGGTTGACAACAACCAGCTAAATCAAGTTCTTAACCTATACCTAGATTAAGGAAGAGCCCAGGCTAGGTGGGGGCTAGCCAAATCAAGTTAGATAAACCCTGATCTAAAATTTGACCTCCCTCTAATTCAGAGAAATCCCACAGGTATTTAAATGCTGGTGACCATGTAGAGTCTTGTCTACAGTGAAAATTTCTGCAGTCTCTCTTTCTTGATAGCATTAGCCATAAATTACTAGTTGACAAAGCCCAAGAATAACAGCTGAAGTATCAGAGAACACATATACATCACCCACTGTTATCACTGTTTCCTGAGGAATTTGACCCAGTTTTTCATAGCTGTCTGGCAAAAACAGAGACTTAATTTCAGCAGCTTTTAATCAAGTTACAAAAAAGCTGTTTCACAACAAAGATAGCTGACCTTTGTCCTGTTAGCACTTCTTCTGTTGGAAGAAGTGTGGTAATACTAGTTCTGCTTTTCCAAAAATGATTTCACTAATGTGGATAAGTGTATTTACATAGCGTAGCTATAAATATCCATCATTTAGTGTCCCCTAGCTCTGACTCAAAATTCAACAGGAATACATGCAAGTTCCACTACCAAAGGAGTAAACAAGAGGGGTTACAATGTGATCACTGAGTCAGAATGGGTTGAGGAGTCTTGCCCAAGTGTTGGAGAGCAGAACCTGGTCTACAAGTCAGGTGAACACATCTCTTTCAACATTCTCTTTATTATCAAAAAATCTTAACACACACATACTAACTCAGCTTAATCAAAACAACTGAATAAAGCAGACAGGCTCAAACTAGGCTTACTACATGATCATATACATCATTTTAAACAAGGCATCAGTCTAATAAAACAAGAAAGAGAACCCTCAAAAAATTAAAACAAAAATATTCAAGTCACAGTGCCTTATGCTGAAGTTCACCATAAGACATAGGCATTTGCTGTTTCAGACTACTGTAATTATTAAAATTAAAATACCCTTAAGCAATTCAATATTTCTTTGAAAAACAGTCCTTGCCTGTGCCATTATCTCATCAATACTGACATAAGCTTCCACAAATTAAATCTATCCAATCATACTGGGGATCATACTCTTACTCTAGAAATAACACGACTAAATTTTTGTCTGCATTCTTCCTCCCCTCTACAGGGGAGTTATCAATTGAGTAGAACACATGGACTTTTATGAGATTAAATATGCTACCTTTTACTGTAGCTGGCAATGTTGGTAAACAGCTTCCTGAATACAAAGGGTCTAGGAGGTAGTCTGTTACCAGACTGATGGCTGTTTGTACCAAATATGTACCAAATTGTGTGCATTAGCTACAAAATAATAGTTCATATACAGCCTTACTAGATTTTAACATTATTCACCAAGAGTTCCATTCTTCTGAGTTTGCGTTTATTCTTTGGCATGGGCTTGTCATATAAACCATTTTTAAGAAGATGTTCTTTGCTGTGATGGATCTGAGCACCATGCTGAAGCTGGAAAGAACACAAAGCTTGTAGAGGACGAAGTATAGTCTGCAAAAAAACAGGAGAAAATTTGTTTTAAAATTTATTCTTTGAGATACCTTGTTATCCAGATTTTATGTACAGGGACTACCATTAAAATACCAAATTATCTCACATTCCACTTTGCAATAACAAAAGGCCCAAAACATGCCCATGATTTACCTACACAAAATGCTCATCATCCATGGATCTTCTTACATGCACAAGCAGGAAAACGAGAGATGTCACCACACACTGTAAAACATTATTTCTGGAGCCCCATGACATACTTGGGGTAAAAGGACAAGCCAAGGAAGGCTGGCTAGGATCACAAAGGACCCAATATATCCCCCTAATAACCCTGTGCAGATTCTTTTGGATACGCAATTGAGGTTCATCTGACCCATGTCCCTAAATCCCCATTTTCATATCCTTGCTCAGCAGGCTCTTAGTCCCACCCCTCTAGACTCCTAGTCTGCTTAGCACACATTCCCAACTATTTGCAGTTCACTCTCCACAACTGTGGTTATTTGTGCCAATCTCTTTGTCCAGCCAGTCTCATTTTTCCTTAATCTGATTCCTTAGTCAATCTCGGTACCCACTACTCACTCCACGGTTTGCTATCCTATGTACTACACTTCAGTGTTAGGACATGAAATTTGGTGGATGTTGGCCTCTGTGCAAGGGACATGCATTTGCCACTTCTGTGAAAACCTGCTCAAATGTGGCAAAACTAAACCTTTGCAAATCAAACTGAAATTGTTCAAATGCTCAGTAAGACATGCTGAAGCTGCTCAGCTAACTTTTCTACAGATTCTGTATGCGCCAAACATGTTCCAGTCTGCAACTAAAGGTTGGTGCTAGGTGGACCATGAAGCAACTGAGCAGGCGCCATCTCTTTTCCTGTGCTTTCAATGACATTTCTGTGCAGCCCAGTAAGTATGAAAGAGGAAGTTGCCTGATCTGAATGTGAAAGAGCAAAGGCTTTGAAAAAGAGTCAAGTGTGACAACACTGCCTTGCCTGTTAAATACCTGTCTCTGGGAACAGAATTCACAAATTAAGTTTCTTATCTAGTGAGTGGGGAGCTAAACACCTAATAATTGAATTTACAACACTGAGTAGAGGGATGCCTAAGGTAGTCAAGAAACAGGTGGGGTTTGTCTGAAATTCTGCTCATTTCCTGGACTACCTGCAACCCTAAATAAGGTGCCTAGGTGAGACTTCAATTCACACCTTGAAACAACTTCATGGACTTATGCACCCAACTACTTGTGTGTTCAGTGCTAGGAACAAGGATCTCAGGGCTGGTTTACAATCAGAGTCTGCTTCAACTGGCCTCTGCTGTGTTGGGGGAACCATGCTGCTGGCTCATGGGAACAACTCCCAGGTACTAAAGACCTAATTTTACAATAGGATTCCAGCTATGTAACAGGCATTCTTTCTTGCTCTTACAAATCAGTTGGTCTCTTGATTTTTGTTTGTTTGTGATGCTCAGCAATTATTTTCTTAATTTACGTTATTCTTTTTATGGTTTTTATTTTAAACTTCTGAACAACATGGAACAAAATAAACGGACACTAGGTAAATAATACACATAGTGTAGTTGAACAATTAGATGCAAATTTTCTTTGACACAGATTATGGTGAGTCCTGGATTTTTAAATGTTTTATACTGAATAGATATAGAATAGCTAGTACCACTATTTCAATCGTTACAGAAAATAAAATCCTTCACAATTATCAAATTAATAAATATTTGTCTCAATGTATTAGGGGCCAAATCCAATTCAAGTCAATAGAAGCCTTTCCTTTAGACTTTGGACCAGGTCCCAATTGATACAGAAAATTGAAGACTGTAATTATAGGCTGAGGCAGTGATTTCAACCAGGGTGATACTGCACTCAGCCCACATGTGATGTAAGGCTCTCTCCTACCCCAGTCTGGCTCCATCTGCCTGCTGCAGCATCTTGCAGACCAGTGGCATTCCTGGCTACTCCTTTGAGGACTACTGCTACCACTGCCATCTCCTGCCCTCCAGCATCTCTGTGCTGTCCGACTGCACTGAGCAGTGCACTCTGCTGTGGGCAGGCAGGCAGATGTGTGGACAAAGGCATGTCTTTCAGCTCGCTCTCACCCTGTAGCGTCTCCCATGCTCCCCAGGCCAGCCAGAGGGGCCACAAGGGCAGATGGCTTTGGTAACTGGTATGCACAACCCCAGGGGAAGCAGCCTTGGCCACAGGGACCACCCTTGCCCCCCTCACTTATGGACTGGAGGTGGGAAGGAAGGGCAAGTGGTTGAGCGGGCCCCCACTGCCCTCCCCTGGCACTAGCTGGATCAGTGTTTCTCAATTCTTTTAGCCTCAAGGCAGCTCTATATTACTTTTACTGATCTAGAATCGAAATTCAGAAATATCAACAAGGACCCCAGGCTACTGCTACGTTGAGAAAAGTTATGAAGGCCTGCCTTGAGGCTAAAAGTGTTGAGAGCCACTGGTCTGAGATGTATTTACGCATGTGCGCGCACGCACCCCCCCAAAAAACTAATGTTCAAGCTCTTCTTTCAGAGTGCTGATTTCTGGTAGTAAATCTTCCTTTATTCTAAAATGCAGCAGCAAGCTAATGAACCTGTGAACTTTAATTCTGCATTAAGGCCTGGCTCCCAACTAATTTGTAAAAGACCACAACTTACTGCCACCACCACTTCCAAGAAGGTTGCCTGGGACTTGCTGAGCAGAAAGACAGATGTGGATCAAAAGTGTGAGAACTATAAATGGAGACTGAGTAGGTAAGGTCTGGGACAAAGTAGAGGTGAAAAAAAGACTTGGGATTGGGATACAGATGCCATGACTCTCATGACTATCAACGAATGTAGGAAACCTACCGGACTTCAGACTAACACAGCCAACCTACCTCTCTTTCAGAGTATTAGGGTAACTGTCAAACCCAGAAAGTTTACTGGCAAAAACACAAGTCACTTTCAAATAGATTTTAAAGATTATGAGCTAATTCTTTGGTGTGGTGCAGCCATTTTTTGTCACCCCACACCACCATGTACTGTTCCATATGCCACTTAATTTAGTGCAAGAATGAAATTCTGCTGGCAAACAACTGCAGTAGCTGCACGTCAGCCACACCCCGTTGTTAGAAGAGCAAAGTATGTAGCTGGGGAACAAGAGACCAGGGCTGCTCTTCTACAAGATTACTATCAATCTTTTAAGAAGCTTCTGTCCCAAAGAAGCATCTGCAGCTGAAAGACATTAGAGTCCCAGCATGTCTGGAAGGGTATGACTAAACAGAGTGGACAACAGCATCTGATAAATGTTAAAGGTGAGTTCCAAAGCTGCCTATACAGAGAGTTTCACTGATCTTTACAGAGTGTATTTCAGAGATGATAGGATCTGGCCCTATGTTACTAGCCTCTTAGATCTTTTTTCTGAAAAGCTAATTACCATAAATATTTCTAGCATCAGCAAGAAAACACTGAGAACACTGAGGACATTTTAGTGTCTTGACAGAGTCTTCCATCACAGATCAGCAGGATCACAACTTGCAATGCAAAGGCTAATGTCTGATTAGTATTCTTTGACCTAGAAGGTTGAACAAACTCAAGAACTGTCACATCCCAAATTCCTCCAATGATACTTTACAGTTTTAAGCTGATTAGTAGAAAGAAGTAAGCCAGTGGGTCACACCGTGTGGCTAAAGGACTACTCCAAGTCAATCGAGCAAACTTACAAAAGCATTTTATCTTCAAGTTAGCTGAGAGGGTTGGTCAGGTCATCTCTGCAGTGTAGCTTTTGGTAGAAATTATTTCCATATAAAGCTTTTAATTGCCTGCCTGGAATTTGATTAGACCGGTCTTCTAAAAGTTGCAGTGCACTTGTGCAGTGCTCTGACTGTACAAAAACATTTTAACCTATTTAAATATTTAAAGTAACAAAAAATTGCCAGTAACCTCTCTGTAGTGACTAAGTGTGACTACATATAAAAGAAAATGTATCACATCTGACCAGCTACTAAAACTTTCTAGTGTCTTCCTGGACAATCCAACTGTTGGTAAATTGATAACTTTTAACTCCATCTCCATACCAGCCACATACTGCAGTATGTGTCCCATATACTTAACACCAGGCAAACACAGTTACTTAGATAACTCAGGGCCTGAACTAGAGATGCTCTATCCAAAATTTCCTTCAACCTTGAAACACATATTGAAAATGCTATCTTTTTCTCCTTGTTGATAAATTTTAACTAAAGCTATTTTGTATATAGTCTACTAACTATACTACATTATTCTTCCATGAGTTAGTAACTTCAAAAGGCTAGAAGCAGACCTGATTCAGTCCTGATCTCAGGCCTCATATGCCATTGTTTGAGTGTTCTGCTTTTGATGGGCTTCATATCATGTAACACAATCTGTTACATTTGCAAACATTGAAAATTGTTCCAAAACTTGATGTAACAATGCAAGGTGTGGGGCCAAACCCCAAAACATCAACAACGAGCAAACCAAAGTGATGGGTCTTGTTATCGCTAGGCTAACTCTTTAGTAGGTACACAAGACAATTCAGAGAAAAAAGGGAATTGACATGTTCCTATGACAGTTCTATTCTCAGATGAGAACATCTTTATTCTCTAAAACATAATTAAAGTGTAAGGTTTAGACGTTATAAAGAGCCTAATCAATTGGTTTCAATTATCATTAAGAAAGTGAACAAGAAGACAGAAAGCATATTTTGAAGATTTGGCAAAAAATCTGGATTTTAAATACTGATTGCCACAATATTCACTGCTGATTAAACACTAATAATCTAACTTTTGGATCCATGAAAATCAGATAAAAGAATGATTATAGGTTAAAATATCTGCACATTTTAAACATTTTCTTCTGCTACAAAAATATCAAGCTTACACTTACAGGCTACTTGGATGATAAAGTAAATGTGGCAGTGTAAAAGTGAGGTAGCTGTGATGGTCCAGAAATTATGCAAGAGGCAAAGAGTTCTTAGGGTGATATCTTTTATTGGACCAGCTGCATAGCTAAGATAGAGTTAAGACAAGCCTTCAAATGCAAGACATTTTTCATCTGGTCTGATCAGTGCAAGCCAAGCACAACATAGTAAAAAACAGCTGTAGGAGGGGGAGAGGGAATTTGCCTAGAGTAGCAAACAAAACTAGTAGAAGAAAAAAGCTCATTACCCGGAGATCAAATCTATGATAAGGGAGGATGGTCATTCCCACTTTTTATGTATGGAAAGAATTGAGGAGTGAGGTAGCTTATAGTGCTTATAATTATTTTCAGTAGAGGGCCGCTTACCAAGTTTGGCAAGCTATTGAGGGCCGCGTGGGTAGCCCCACCCCTTGATAACTGCTTCGCCCCTTGATCACCATCTAGAGACTGGAAGTTTTTCCCCCTAACCCCTGACCTTTGCCACCAGAAATCCCTCCCATTGCCTCTAGAAGTACTCCTTTCAGCAAGGGGTTTTGCCATCTTGAAAACCAGAAAAATACCAAATTATATTCTAAAAATTGAACACCTACAACATTCATTGATTTCATTTCAAAAAATATTTTTGTCCTGATTTACTTGCCTTTGTGTAGTATACATAGATGTGTTTGCACAATAGCTTAAAATGAAGTCTTACTCTTGTATAGTGTGGGGGGGTGGGTATGTGAGGGAGGGTGGACAAGTGTGGGGTGAGGGAGCATGTGGGGGGGGGTGTGGATGGGTATGGGGACACTTTGTCTCTCCCTCCCTAATTGCATGCACACACATACTCTAACTCTCTCCCCCATTGCTCTCTCTGCATCTCTCTCAACCCCTGTCCCTCCCTCCCTCATTGCACGGATGCATGCCTACATGCACCCCCTCCCCCCATGGCTCCTAGCTCCAGGATACTGGCACAGGCCTGTGCTCCCATGGTCCGATGATGCATCCAGGAGCCACATGGTGCAGGAGAGGCTGGCGGGCAGCAAAATGGGGAAAGCAGGGGCAGGCAGGGGGTGAGTGGCAGCGAGCAGGCAAGGGAGTACATTGACAGCTGGGTGGGAGCGCAGGGCCCGTGTTGGTGTCCCAGGGCCAGCACCATCGGGGCTCAGGGTGAGGCTGCAGGAGCGCAGGGCTGGGTTGGCAGGGGCTCTATGGAGCTGGGCTGGCTCCCCCTTCTCCCTGCTGGCATAGCCCAGTTTGGCCCCGCACTCACAGAATCATAGAATCATAGAAGTAGGGTCGGAAGGGACCTTGTAGAACTTCAAGTCCGACCCCCAGCCTGGGCGGGAGAAAAGACTGGACTCAAATGACTCCAGCCAGGTAGTCATCAAGCCTCTTCTTAAAGATCCCCAGGGTAGGAGCCAGCACCACTTCCCTAGGAAGTTGGTTCCAGCTCCTAGCCGCCCTAACTGTGAAGTAGTTCTTGAGGATGTCTAATCTAAACCTACTCTGCAATCATTTGTGTCCACTGTTCCTTGTCATGCCAGGGGGCGCTAGGGGAAACATTATCTCCCC